ATCAATAGAATAGATTAGAAGACCCTGAAGCCCCTACAAACACACTCAACCACCTTATCTTTGACAAAGGGCCAAACGTACTCACTGGAAGAAAGGTAGCCTCTTTAACACATGGTGCTGGAAAAACTGGCTCTCTACATAGTGAAAACTCAAACTTAACCCAGGTCTATCACCATGCACTAGACTATAGTCAAAATTTATTAAAGATCTAAACATTAAAGCAGCGACACTAAATCTCCTCGAAGGGAAAGTAGGAGGAACTCTTAAAGACAGAAGGGTAGGCAAAGAGTTCATGAACAGAAATCAAATCACATGGGAACCTTTTGAAAGAATTAACAACTGAGACATGCTCTTACTGAGAAGTGTTTTCACGTCCAAAGAAATTATAAACAAAGTGAAAAGGTAACCCAGAAATTTGGGAAAAATAATGACAAATAAGTACTCAGACAAAGGTCTGCTCTCTAGAATTTATAAAGAAGTAAAAAATACTAGAGCTCCAAAATTTAAAGACCCAATCCAGAAATGGACATCTTAGTTGAACACATGTTTCTCAGAGGATGAAATTAAAGAAGTGAATAAATATTGAAAATATGCTCCATATCACTAGTCATCCGCAAAATGCATATTAAAACAACATTGAGATCTCGTCTCACCCCAGAGAGAATGGCTGTCATAAAGAAATCACCCAACAACAAATGTTGGAGAGGCGCTGGGGAAAAGTGAACCCTTCTCCACTGCTGGTGGGAGTGTAGATTGGTGCATCCGCTATGGAAATCAGTTTGGAGACTCCTTAGAAAATTTTAACTGGAAATCCTATTTAAACCACCTATTCCTCTATTTGAAAATTTCCCAGAGTATCTGAAAACATCATATCATAGTGATATATGTGTGTCTGTGTTTATAGCAGCACAATTTGTGATAGCCAAATCTGGGATACAGCCAAGATGCCCATCACCTGAGGAACGGTTCAAAAAGATGTGGTATTTTTACACAATGGAGTATTATTCAACTATTAAGAATAAAAGGCACAGGGTCACATCAGATGATTAAAGTGGCTGAGGACACACTGAATGTTTATATTTGATATAAATTGCCATTACCATTTTGAATTGATTCATGGCACTACATCTTCCATAAAAAGATATAATAGATGACTTCTAAAACTGCTTCAAAATGTTAGAACAGGAATGGAGTATGTTTGCAATCAGTGGGAGTTTTTGAGTACAATTAATGGCAATGTGTCTTTTACAATAATAAATATTTAAAATCATAACCATTCACCATATTCTAAAATAAAATTATTTATTTCTGTCAATGAAATTTTAATATTGATTAGAATGATAACAACAATTTAATTACTGGTAAGGTATTATTATATACAAAATATATTCATCTAAACTTCTAACTTTCTCTTCAGAGATTCATACTACGATTGTATTTTCTATTCTCACATTGTCATGATTACCTGCTGTTTATAATTGTAAAATCGAGATAGAAATCAAATTTGATATGAGGCAAGTTTTTCCTCCCCAGAGTAAAAAACATTTGAGTGGTTGTATAAGTGTGCATCCCACTGTACATGGTGACCAGTGACATGTAATCTGTCTTTGCCAAATTTTGGTTGTTTCAGTCTAAGCCCAAACTGTGACTTAATCAGATAATTCTCCAAAGCAGGTAATGTCACTAAACTTTCTAGGCCATAGAAATTGAGTGTTTACTGGGAGACATGTCCTTATTATTTCCTTCAAAGGATCTGCATTAGATATAATCATTCCTTAGATTTTGGAAACATACAACTCTTAAGTGTTCCAACATTTTCACTTTTGATCTTCCTAACAGATAAGAGAAATAGCAGCCTCATTTGTAACCCATGTTCTACATCACAGAGGAGATGAGTCTGGGTAGTTACTCACAGATAGAGGAGAACCAGGCTGGTAACCAAAAGAACCCAGGTTTCCATGGCATAGTTTGGAATCAGGTCCATTACTAAATTCCTTCAACAATTCTCTCCTCTGAGTTTTCTTTCCAGTAGATTGTGTAGTACTTTTCAGGGTTGTTCCTGTAGAGCTCCCACCTCAGTTTAAGTGAGATTGAGACCAGTCAGGAATGTTTATGTGAGAAGGAGGTGCAGCTTGGTGTGTAGCCAGTACAAAGGGCAATTGTGCAAAGTCTGATGGCCTGTACACCTCAGTTATTGGCAGTCATGAATGTGCCTACTTCAGTTTCTGAGCTATAACTTGTGGAAAATCAGTGAAAGTTCAATCTTATCTCCAGGTCCAAAGATCTTTGCTTCTTATCAGAAGTGATTGGCACTGCATCACCTGTACCCTGTTCTTTCACATAAGCCATGCTTATGCTGACATACTTAAGATACACCCAAACAAGGAGCACACACACACACACACACACACACACACACACACACTTTTATTTATATGCTTTTCCAATTATTTGCCTACACCCTTGTGTGTCCATGGAAAATTCTCATTCCTCTTTCAGAATGCAAAAAATCAGTCAAAACTTCCTCTTCTAGAGTCTTTTCTTACTAATCTCCCCAGAAAGAAGTATTTCTTTTCTGGGTAACTTCTGTAATCTGCAGCACAGACCATGATTGCTATCTATAATTTTCAGAAATATACTTTGTGTGTTGTTGTTTGATTTCACAAGCCTAGGAGCTTCTCCAGGTTACAGTCAGGATAAGTATTTCACAGAATTCGTATCTAGGAAATTTGGTTTAGTTCAGAGAGCTTGCTGGGCTTCTGTGTGGCCTTTCTCTGTGAGTACATGGTGACCACTCAGTCTTCTTCAATGTTAATAGGGCAAGAAGAGTTGCTTATATTTCAGCTGCCTTCCTGGCACATTCAGCTTGGTCTGCACGGCTTGCTCTGCCAAGAGCATCCCTAAACAGAGATAGGACATAGAAAAAGATGGAGCTCATCATGGTACTACTGAGCAGTATTAATTCAGGTTGCTTCATGTGCTGCCCTTCAGAGGGTCTTCTAGTGAACAATCAGTTACACATTAACTTTCTCAGAAACTCTGCCTATCAAGGGTCACTGGATGTGATTGAGAACAACAGAAGAGAGCAACAGCCTGTATGGAAAGGTAGACTTTAAACACATGGAGCACAAGTATGTTCCCTGTTTCTACAGGCAGCATGCAAAATATACAGGACTCCAAAAATATGATTCCAGGCTTTTTGTAAGACAGGGGTTGTGAGATAAAATGGTTCCCTGCTTTTAGATGAATGAGTGATTTTTTAAAATTTAATTTAATTTAATTTTTTAATTTTTTTTGAGAACCAGGGATTGAACTCAGGCCCTTGCACTTGCCAAGCAATGAATGAGTGATTATTGAGTAAGTGAAAAGCAGGCCCCCAGAGGTGATTTAGGAGGCAAGGTGTAAGAGCAATCATCGTGATCAGTGAGCTCCCCCAACAGATTCCTAACAGAACAGATGAAGGGAATATTTGGAAATGATACCACCTCATCTTTTCAACTTAGAGCTATAATGTTTACTTACTTACATCAGAAATAGATTAGAATTCAGTGGATCCCAGCTTTTTTTGGCACCCAGTTTCATGGAAGACAAGTTTTCCACAAACTAGTATAGGGGTGACTTCAGCATGATTCAAAGGAGCATGCAGTCTTTGTCTTTCACATGCTCAGTTCACAAGAGGGTTCGTGCTTGCACGAAAATCCAATTCTGCCACTGATCTGACAGCCGTGGAGCTCAGATGGTGGTATCATCACTTGAGATTATCGTGTGGTCTTTGTTTTTTTTTTCAAAGTTTTATTGATAAACATATAGCAATGAGACAGTTTCAAATCAAATCGAAAGTACAGTTTCAA